CCGCCCCGCGTTCCAGTCTTGCCGTTACCTGGGGCCAGGCAGGGCCGCCCGCGCGGGACCCGCTCTAGGCCGCGCACCACGAAGGCCCCGCTCGGGTCCCGCAGCCGCGCCTCGCCGCCGCCCGCCGCCAGCACCGAGCCCTGCATCCACACGGTCACCAGCTCCAGCGGCTCGCGGCCCGCCGCCACCCGCGACAGCCGCCACGCGCCCGGGCCGCCCTCCGCGTCGCGCCGCAGCTGCTCGGCCAGCACCTTGAGCGGCGGCGACCGCGGCAGCCGCACAGCCGCTGGGCCGCCGCGGGCTAAGGAGTCCGCTGCCCCCACAGCCGCCGCCATGCTTCCCCACCTCCGCTTTCCCGCCAACTTTGATAGGCAGCGGGGCCGGGGCCGTGGCCACCAATCAGGGGGTGTTCTGGCGGAACGGAGCAATCCTCGGCGTCGGGAGGCGGGGCTTCCCAGCCCGGCGGCCTCCACCGGTCTCCAGGAGTGCGCATGCGTACGTCAAGTAAATAAACGTCCCCAGGCAGGTGGGTGGAGGGATGAAGCGAATCACAAGAGAATAAATACTTGGAGGTAGGTAAACAGCTTCTTGTTTCGACGCATCTCAAAACTTGATGTCTATGCCTGTCACCCGAGAATGTTTTCATCTTTACATCACCTTGCGTGGTAGGATTACTCCGAAGTTAAGCAATACTAGTTAATCCTGGAAGGAATAGTAGCATGATGAGGCCATGTTTATTGAGAGTGATAAAGAATCGAGTCACGAGAGAAGGCTGGGAAGAGGGACAGGGACAGCTGGTAAAAGTGACACTTTTATTACTATTTTCATGATATTTTAATAACAATAATTTAAAACTTAAAATACGTTGTTCACAAAATAAATGAACATTCATTGTAGAAAACTTGCAGAAGAAAATCTGGATAATAAAAAAAATTGTAAAAATCACTTCGAGATATCCACTGTTAACTTTTGGGTGTATTAGCATCCATATGTTGGACCTACAAATAATGTTTTCTGTATTTTTTTCACTTAATAATGACATTTCCCCATATCAACAAATACCCTTTGCGGCCTCGCGAATGACTTCATGATGTTTCATTTGTCAGACCACCTGGTTAACCAGTATTCTACAGTTGGACTTTAAGACCATTTCCAACTTGTCATTGTGTAAACTCACTACTGTGAGCCTACTTAGAGCTGAATCTTTGTACGCATTTCAGATAAATTCTTAGAAACGGAATTCCTCCCTAAAAAAGGGTAGGTCCCCAGTGAGCAAAATCCACAAATCCTTAACCAGGAAAATCCTTAAAGTCAAGACTAGTCCTTAGGAGACTTTGTACTCCCAGGGCTCCTGCAGTAGAGAGGGTACTGTATATTCAGCAAGAGCTCGATCTTTCTAAAGCAGTTAAGATGTGCTGAGCCAGGCCCTGTCCTAAGAGCTTTGCAGGGAGAGTTCCATGGACTCCCACACCCTGTAAAGACTGTGTTCTACACAGATAAGGAAACAGACTCATGAAAGCTATGTGACTTGCCCTTGGCCTCTCTGCTTGTAGCCTCTGTGGGATCCTGGCCTCTACACCTCCACGCTGAGCTGTAATATAACCAGGCTGCTGGGCTGAGGAGGGAGCAGGCACATTAGCCAATAGAGAATCCAACCCTTCCCGTCTGGTGGGTCCCCGGTGCCTTCCCCTGGGCACCTGAACACCACAGAAGTGATGGTAAAGGGAGCTGGGGTAAAGGGAAAGGCCCCTAGGCAGCAGGCACTACACGTGCAGGGCCCAGAGAGGAGACAGCAGGAAGCAATGGAAACACTGCCAGCATTTCAGAACGGCTGGGATACAGAGTGCAAAGGCAGGAGTGGGCATAAACGAGGCTGTACCCACATAACCTCATTCCTTACGCTCGTTTCTCAGGAGACAAAAAGGAGGTTCAGGCCAATGACAGGCCTGTGAGGGGGAGAGCCAGGATTCAAATCCAAGTCCATCCAATCCCAAACTTCATGCTCTTGAACCACTCGTGTCATCTCACCGTCCTTCCTGGTGCCCACCACCCCCCCCCATCCCACCCCGCATCAAAGATGCCTCGTCACCTTTGCTTGTGCTGTCCTCGGCCTGACGTGCGTTCCCCCGAACTCTCCCAGTTGAAACCTGGCCCAGTCACCAAGTGCCTGCCCCCACCAAACCACTTTTATTCCGGGAGACGTTGTGGAGCTAATTTTTCAAGTCAGTTTCTCCCTTCAAGATCCGTTTGCGATCCTAATCTGGGGTGTCCTTTGACATTTGGGGCTGGGTAAGTGTGTATTGAGGAGGCTCTCCTATGTGCACTGTAGGACGTGGGGCAGCATCCCTGGCCTCCACCCACTAGATCCCAGTATGCCCTCCTATAGTTGTGACAACTGGAAATGGTTTCGGACATTGCTGATGCCCGCCCCTGCCCACCCCCCAGAAGAGCGACTTCCTCGAATCTACACGATTCACCACACTCTGTCTTGACTCAGAAGTACTTGAATCTGTGTCCATCTCAGCAGCTCTGCCAGGGACCCAAGCACAGATGCCAGCAGCGGCCAGGCAGGGAACCTGCTAGAGCAGTGAAAACCTGGCCTCCGTGTGGCCCAATAAATGGGCTGATCAAACTCAGCCCGTGGCTGCCACGCAGGAATGTGGGCCCACTGTTGCCAGATGTGATTTCTCAAGACACCGTAACGTATGATCGCCATATTAAAAAAAAAAAAAAATGTTGACAATGTATTCGGTGCTTAACAAATAAAAGCTGTCTGTGGTGGACTCTGGTCCGGGGGCAGCCAGTCTGCAAACTTGGCCTCTGCAATGCAAGCGTTTCTCCTTAGTACCCAGGTGGCTGGCGTGGTAACTGATGGGCAGGCAGCCCCTTGGAACCTACTGAAAAAGATCTAAGGCGCTGCTGCATTCTGCCAGCTTCCGGGGTTGCAAAAGCCATGTCTGAAATCACCATCGTGAGCAGGCCGACGGGTCTGGTAACACACACCGGGTGAGCCTGCCCTCCATGGAAGATTATCTCCCTCTCTACCCGTCACCCTCTCACCTGGGGCCTTGAGCAATCCCCTGTGCCTTTAGCAAATAAAGCAAGATCAAAGACCCTTGGAAGGGAATTTCCTGCCACCTAAGGACAAAGGTAAGACAAGGGGAATTCTAGGCCTTGACCTCGCATTCAGCCTACCCATTCACCAGTTCTCAGGCAGATCGGTCTAAAATGCTTCTGGTTGCCAGGAACAAAGACCGAACCCTCCCGCCCCCAGAAAAGAAGTTTATTCTGGAAGGATGTCCACGCAGTAACATCTTCAAAACAGCCATAGTTGTTAGCTGAGCGTTTCCCATGTGCTAAGCACCATGCCAGGTACTTCATGGGCAGAGTCTCAGCGAGGGAGTCGCCTCACGACAGCGCTAAGAAGTAAGTGCGTTTCTTACGTCCGTTTTACAGATGAAGAAACTGAGGCTTGGAGAGGTGATGTGACCTCCCC